GAGCTTTTCGACCTTCTTCCTACCCTCCGGTACCCTTTTCTCCGGACCCCTCATCACTCCCACGCTCCCTCCCCGCTTTTCTCACCATCTTTCTCCTCACCATCTTGCCTCCACGAGTTTATCCGCGCTGTATTTCTTCGATATACAGTTCTTTTTTCTTTTTTTTTTTTGTTCGAAAGCAATTCGAAAAGATTCGTTGCTTTTCGCTTTGGATCGGTTTCGCTTCGGATTCTTTTCCGTAGAAAAAAGGAAAAAACGTTTTTTTTCGGTGGTTGCATGGTCCACGAGAAATATCATCGGCAAGGATATATCATCGATTGACGACGACGACGACGACGACGTCGACGTTCGTCGACGGTGGTGGTGCAGTGAAGGTGGTAATGGTGGTGTATCGAGGCAAGCCGAAAAAGGAATCGGTTAAAAAGGTGGAGGGGGAGAGGGAGGGGAGGTGGAGGTGGAGGTGGAGGAGGAAAGGAAGCAGTAGACGAAGCGAAAACTAAAAGAAGAAGAGGACGAAGAAGAAGAAGAAGAAGAAGAGGAAGAGGAGAAGGAGGAGAAGGAGGAGGAGGAGGAGGAGAAGGAGGAGGAGGAGGAGGAGGAAGAAGAAGAAGAAGAAGAAGAGAAAGAAGCAGATGAAGGTGAATGGTGGGGCTGTCTTCTCTACTCCTTAGTACATTTCTGGTGGGGGTAAGGCAACACTCAAAGTTCGTGGTGACGTAGTTCTGGCAGGAACGCGACGCGTTTTTGTCCCCGCCGGAAGGAAATAGCAGCTTCCTAGATTCTGATCGCGTCTCATCTTTGGTGTTTTTCATCGAGGCGAACGTACGAGAGTACGAGAGGGGAAAAAAAGGAGACAGATTCGAATCACGAAAGGATCTGGAATATAGGTTAGAAAAGGAAGCGAGAGAAGAAGAGAAAAGAAGAGGCGAGGCGAGGCGAGGCTAGAAGAGGATTGGAAAAGATAGGCGGAAGAGAAGTAGCGGGATCGAGTGGAAGTAAACGAAACGAAAGAGGGAAGAAGCGGAGTGAAGGGGTGGTGGGGGATATCTAGTTAAAGAGACCGGAAGCGGAGGGTTTCTCTTCCGGGAATTTCTCGATCGTGATAAGGACCATTTGCGTGCCCAAAAGATTACATTCGCCGTCAGTCAAAGCAAACGAGAAAATTTGATTGTTTTTTCATGGTTTCCCAGTGGCCCGGAAAGAGATCATGAGGATTTCGCGCGGTCAATATTTGTATCCGTTCGTGTATCTCAAAGAGGCTCTTTCGCTTTGATCGCGGTGTACTCTCGAAGAGCTGGAGAAGAAAGAAGCCGAGAAACAGACGGAGGAGGAAGAGGAAGAAGAGGGCTGCAACTTGGCCGAAGAAGAAGAAGAAAACGATCGTGGTTCGGTGAAGTGTCGGCAGAAGCGAAGACCAGATACGAGAAAGTAGTCGAGAGTGGACGGTCGAGGAGATCGGGTGCTCGATAAAGAATTTCTCCTTCGAGATCGGGGAAAAGGATCGTCCGGAATAATTTTTTTCCAAGGAGCACGTGTGAGCCGAGATCGCGCGTTACCGAGATATCGATACGTCACGCGTATCGCAAGTCACAATCCAATTTTTTCGCCGGTTTCGTAGGTCAGGAATCTTAGTGGCGTTCAGCGGCACGGTTGTGAAAACGCAAGACGACATTCCGACATACCGCCACCATTTTCCGACTGATATTCGCTCTCACGAGTCGAGAACGATCGTCTTCCGATCCGATCCAGGGGACACAGACGGCCTTCAGAGAAGGGAAGCGATCGGCAATTGTCGAAGTTACACCACCGAGGGGCGGAGGGGATGGAGATGCGCCTCGTTCTCGTGGCGATCTGCCTCCTTCTCGTTACCCCCATCGCCGGCTCTTTCTGGTACGTACCATCCGATCGTTTATCCGTTTATTCCAAATTGCTTTGATAAAACGCTTTTTATCATCCTCGATCTCGACCGAGAGAGAGAGAGAGAGAGAGAGAGAGAGAGAGAGAGAGAGAGAGAGAGAGAGAGA